ATTCATCGTTCAGAATGGACACCCGCATAACGTCTTTAAAGATGAGGCCGACCGAATCATCTACCCTGGTGTCTTTCCCGAGGCCGTTCAGTCTCCCATATCAACATCGTCGCCACGCCCTAATTCCGATACCCTTTCCCTAAACCCCGAAACAGTGTCGCCCAACAATCAAGCAAAACCCACCACCTCAGAACCTTCCGCGGCTACAGCAGCCAAGGAGTCTACACAAGCCGAGCCATCGGCCGCTCCTATCCGGCCCAGCGTTGACAAGAAGTGGCGCACCGACCTTCCCAGGCGCACAGGAACAGGTGCAGCTCGAGCCTTCAGTTCTCGAAGGGCTCCGCGAAGGGCAGGCACCTCCTATATCAACAAGGCGAATTTGAGCAATGGTCGACAATGGAACCATGTCGATGACTCGGACTCTTCCAATTCCAGTTCGTCGTCTTCGTCCGAGGATGAAGACGAGACGCCTGGTGATGCACAACCACATCTGGAGCACGCACAAGCCAGGAGAGATCAGCGTAGGCGTGAGATTGATCAATATCGCCGTTTCCATGTCGGCAACGACAACTACAAGACGAAGGGCAAAGTCAAGAAAGATGGACGCCTGCGGATTTCAGTCAAAGAGACAGCGAATACTGGGTATCTCGCAAAAGCTCTGGGTCATGCTGCTAAGAAGATTGTGGACCCGAAAGACAAGACCGAACCCGAGGAGGAAGCTGTTGACAGGCTTTCGACTGCTCCACCCTCTTCCGCTTCAACTATGACAGAAGCCCTCGGCCGCCGGCCGAATCTCAACATTGTCATCATGGTCATTGGATCTCGTGGAGATGCGCAGCCGTTTCTCAAGATTGGCAAAGTGCTCAAAGAGCACGGCCACCGAGTTCGAATTGCAACACACCCTGCCTTCCGAGAATTTGTCGAGAAGGATTCAGGCCTGGAGTTCTTCTCGGTAGGAGGCGACCCGTCAGAGCTCATGGCCTTCATGGTCAAGAACCCTGGCATGATTCCCACACTTGAGGCAGTAAAAGCCGGTGACATTGGGAAGAGACGAGCTGCCATGGCGGAGATGTTTGAAGGTTTCTGGAGAGCTTGCATCAACGCTACCGATGACGAAAAGGACATTCACAACCTGAAAATGATGGGAGCAAAGGATCCGTTCGTTGCGGATGCCATTATTGCCAATCCGCCAAGCTTCGCCCACGTTCATTGTGCGGAAGCGCTCGGTATTCCTCTTCATCTTATGTTTACCTTTCCCTATACTCCGACACAAGCCTTTCCGCATCCGCTGGCCAGCATCAAACGATCAAATGTTGATCCTGGCTACACAAACTTCATCTCGTACCCTTTGGTCGAGATGATGGTCTGGCAGGGTCTGGGCGATCTCGTCAATGATTTCCGTACCAAAACGCTGAACCTCGACCCTGTCTCGACTCTTTGGGCGCCAGGCGCTTCTTATCGCCTGCATGTTCCTTTCACCTACCTCTGGAGTCCCGGCTTGGTACCTAAACCGAAGGATTGGGGCGACGAGATTGACGTTTCTGGGTTTGTCTTTCTCGACCTTGCGTCCACATTCACCCCTCCAAGCGACTTAGAGGAGTTTCTTGCGGGAGGCGACACGCCCATTTACATCGGATTTGGCTCGATTGTAGTCGACGATCCCGACAAATTTACCCAGATGATATTCGAAGCTGTTAAGCTGGCTGGTGTCAGGGTGTTATTATCAAAGGGCTGGGGTGGATTAGGCGGTGACGACGTGCCCGAGAACGTTTACATGCTCGAAAACACGCCACACGACTGGTTGTTTCCCCGAGTACAGGCATGCGTCATTCACGGTGGTGCTGGCACCACTGCGATGGCTCTCAAATGCGGCAAACCAACCATGGTCGTGCCTTTCTTTGGCGACCAGCATTTCTGGGGTAGCATGCTGGGAAGCTCCGGCGCTGGACCTGATCCTGTTCCCTACAAAAACCTCTCTGCGGAGAAGCTAGCGGAAGGCATCAAGTATTGTCTGACGGACGAAGCCCGCGCAAAGGTGGGGGAGATCGCCAGAGACATCGAGCTGGAAGGCGACGGTGCCGCTAACGCGGTGGGATCTTTCCACCATCATCTCAACCTTTCCGGCGTCGATTCGATGCGATGCTCTATCCTCCCCGAACGAGTGGCTGTGTGGAAGTTGAAGAATAGTGATGTCAAGCTGAGTGCACTGGCCGCCGATATGGTCGTCGAGAGTGGTCAGGTGTCCTGGAGAAAGTTGAGGCTCATCCGACACATGGAATGGAACGACTTTGAGGGACCAGGCGAACCGGTGACTGGAATGGCCAGTTCAATCGTTACAAGTGTCGGTCATCTATTTGGCGGCGTTGGAAGCGTTCCTTATCGTATTGCCAAAACGTCGCACAAGCGGAGCGAAAAGAAGAAGAAGAGAGAGAAGCTCAAGGCTATGCGTGAGACAAGACGAAATCGCAAAGCCGCGGCTGCAGACGAGAAGCTGCAGAACCATGCCACAGCCAAAGTCAAGGGGCCCAAGGGTACAGAAGTGACGGACTTTGAGACCGAGGAAAAGACACCACCCAACGCGGCCCAAGCGGAAAGCCCTGCAATGGCGACAGAAGGCGGTAAGCCAGAGCGTACAGAAACTGAGGCCAAGGTCGACAGGAAAGTACAGGAGCAGAAGCCTACCGGAATCACTAATCAGTACGTACACTCGCACGAGACGAATGGCCAAACTCCAGAAGAGAAGGAGACGCCGAAACGCCCCTCCGCCCAAGGACGAGATACGACAAATACTATGAGCTCGGCTGAAACTGCGTCCACGATGGAGAATCCCGTCGAAGAGTACGCTGGAGACATTGGCAGTGGATTAGGGAAGTCCGGCAAAGCCCTTGCCAAAGCACCGGTCGACCTCTCGATGGCCATCGCGCAGGGTTTCCACAACGCCCCGCGCCTCTATGGTGACGATACCGTCCGAAGGCCAACACGCGTTACAGGCATGCGCTCAGGCTTAAAAGCAGCTGGCTCAGAATTCGTTTACGGGATCTGGGACGGCACCACCGGTGTTGTACTACTTCCTGTACGAGGAGCGAAGAAGGACGGCGTCGTCGGCTTTGTCAAAGGAACTGGCATGGGTGTCGGTGGCCTGGTACTCAAGTATCTCTCTGCCATCGCCGGTCCCGTCGGGTACACCCTCAAAGGCGTTGTCAAGCAAGCGGGTCGCGACAAACAGCCCGACAGGGTCATACGCCGCGCTCGGATCATCCAGGGCCAGCGAGAGGCTCAAAAGCTCGGCGCTGACAAGAAGGAGCTCGAGAACGAAGTCCTCCAAGGCTGGCGCCTTATGCGTGAACTGTGGGAGGCATTAGAACAGGTCGAGAAGCATCGCGGCGGTGTTCGTGGGTGGGCCGGCGCGAAGAAGAAGCGCGGCCTGAACGCGGCGTTCCAAAGCGTCGACACGGCGGAGCGGGCACTCGCTGCCGTGAGGCGTGGCGACGACGTCAGCACCGTCGTCGGAACGGAGCGCAAGCTTCGCAAGGATGAGGATAGGCCAAAGCAGGGCGTCGATGCTGCTGTGTGGGCCGGCTCGGACAGACGAAGCGTCGATACGCGAAAGAGCATTGGTAGTCGGCGATCTGTCGACGACAAGGACGGCCGGTCGGAGAAGCGAGTCGTAGGAAAAACGACGAATGATATTCCCGAGGAGGCTAACGACGTGCCGGCAATGCCGCAGGTTGAGCGCGCGGCAACGTCGGTTTAGAAAGCCTCTTCTCCTCGGCTCCCGGCATGTTGAATAAGGTTGGAAACTACTTTTCTTTTTTCGCGCAATGGGGGTTAGCTAGTTGGAGAGACAGCGCGCGCGTGCGTCTATTTCCAGGCCCCTTTTTTATGGCCATCAGACGAGACATCATACGATAATATACCCCCGGTCTTATAATACAATGGCCATTTCTTCGGCGAGAGCTGCGGCCTGGACAAACAGAGTACAACTCGTGTAAAACAAGCGTTGCTGTGCCGTGTTCCGTTGTATCAGTTCAGCATGAACGCATTGATCTGATCCAGCAAGGAGGTATAGCAGCTTGGGGTGCAGTTGATGAACCTCTCCTAGGAAGACTGACGAGCAACAAACGAGTCGTCCACCATGCGCTCAACCCAGCCCTTTTTTGTCTCTCTTCTCCAAACGTGTTGGCAGCGTCTCGAGAAATGCATTCTATATTCAAATAAAGGGTATCGATTTGCTATACTCCATAATCCCAAGAAAACCACAACATGGACTTTCAGACTCCCAAACTCCACTGGACCCCGAGTCCTCATCTTTCGTTTACGTCTTCGTCTTCTAGCCGATCAGATCG